CAGGATCAGGTGGATACCCTCAACATTTCAAAACGAAACTCTGAAGAAAAAAGCCAAACCGGCTTTGAGGAAGCTTTTGAGGAGGAGCACAGACGAACAGATAGTGTTGTGAGTTCACCACAGGCCTTTGGGAAATTCAAAGGCAACTGCTATACTTCTCTAAACACCATTTCATCTTTATCTTATTCCTTGTGATTTGTTTTGTCTGTTACAGGATGCTTTGGCTCCATACCAACACATTCAGCAAGAATCTAAAGAGCTTAAAGGAGGTTGTGGAAATGAAGAACCAGCCAGATCCACCAGCAAGAGAAAAGATCTCGGACCTGGAGAAAGTGGTAGGCTCAGAAAAACTCAACACACTCATGCGCATGACGGTATAGTGAATGAAGATTACACTGTGGTTGTACTCTACTTTTGAGCAGGCCCAAAAGAACGTGTTCCTTGAGGAGAAGGTGCAGGTTCTACAGCAGCAGAATGAAGATCTCAAGGCTCGTATTGACAATAACCGAAGCGTCTCCCGGTGAGACACATTCTGACTCTTCATCCCATACATTTAGTCTGTCTCTGTTTAAAGGTCACCTACTATGCAAAATCCACTTGTTCACGTCTCTTCTACATCAACATGTGTCCCCTCTGTGTAAAGAGACTCTGAAAGTTTCAGGAAAAAAGATTCTCTCTCTTTTTGTCCTGATCCATTTCTATAAAAACCTGTCTGAAAATGAGCTGATCAGATTTTGGCCACTTTATGATGTCATAAGTGATTAGCCAATACCACCAAACCAAGGTAACCCCACACCACACACACACACACACACACCTCATATCACCTGAATCTCCTCCTAGAGCCACCATTGTGTTCTTTTTAACCAAATATCTCTCAGAGGCGTGGGGAGGGGGCCTCCCTTATTTTCCTCTAAAGTAACAGACAGTGGGCGTTCTCAATCTACGAAACGCTGCCAAGGCCAATATTAAAGGAGCTATACGCTCGAGTGCCCGCGAAGGACTGTTCCAACTCCAGCATACTTGAATCCCACCGAGGCCGCGTCCCTTGGGTTTGGGTAATTTCGAGGCTGCACTGGTAGATTTTGCGTCTTTAATCCCCACAATGTCCCTGCGCACGGGACGAATTCCCCCCAATCTGGCGGAAATGTAATGGCGGGGCTCTCATATGAAACGCCACTGCAACTTGGCTAGCCTGTTCCACTCTTCGTTTTTCGAAAGCCCAGGAAAGGATTCTGCTAGGCTTCTGAAGCAAGTTACTCGGAGCTGTGCTACCAAGCAAGCATCCTCGCGATTGAAGAAATGCAAAGAATCAGCACTTTTTGAACAGGCTGAACAAGAGGGGGGTTTATGATGAGCATGATCTGTTAGGTGTTTCGAGCCAACACTTCAGTAGACATGTTTGTAAAATCTAGAACTATAATTGATGAAAAACAGTATAATTAACTGCTTTGTTAAACTCCCTGTGATTTTTCCTGCAGGCAACTGTCAAGAGAACTCTAACCTCCACATTCGGATTAGAAGAGAGCACTGAGAAAGAGCTTTAGTCGAACAGCAATACGACCGAGCTTCTTGGCGTCTGCCCACACCAGCCCCCTCATGTCCCCCTTCCTCCCCTCTGCACCACCCTCTCCACCTCCCCGTCCCCTCATCCTCTTTCTTTCCTCCTCACCTGTCGCGGTTGACTCTCCACCTCCACTGCACGGTCGCAGCAGGCTCAATATGCTCCCTCCCACAAGCCAATCAAAACCTCCCTGGACCAGGGAACAAACCACTCACAGGGCAGCGACCATCAGAATTATCCCTGGCCCCGGCCAACGCCCACACACAAAGTGTCCCCAATCAGTGTAACTTCCGCTTGTGTCGCTCCCTTTTCAGAGATAGGCTACATGTCCGTATTTAATTACTAATTCTCTTTATTTCCATGATGTTTGAATGTGGTGGCATTTTATTAAGTACAAAGAAAACAAGCCCGTGTCTCCTTGTCGTCTCGTGACATTCCTGGGCAAAGCCGGAAGAAGTTCTCGACAGCTGGTGTTGTCATCAAGTGAAACAAAATTAAAAACATAAATATGAAACTGAATACTTCTCCTGTCCCCAATTGCTGCTTTGTAATAGATCCAAAGGTCTTGATCAGACTGTACATATTGTATGATAGTGACAGCAGATCAACAGTAGTGAAACCTCCCTGCACAGTCCCACGCAAACACAAAAACAGTACAGAGGAAAGTAACACCGTGGCCACAAACAACAAACAATCTGAATGTTTTAAAAATAATACCTCCAATGAAATTAAGCTATACTGTCTTGGGATACAGTTTCCAAATGTTCCCCCCAACAGGCTTAACTCAGTCCTGCTAATTTCACCGCAGAGAACGACCAAGAATTTGACTTTCACAGACTATAGGATAAAGAATTGTCTGTAAAGCAATGATTCGCCTCAAGGTGTATTTGAAAACATCTTGATGTTAAGTATCAACACTGATAGTTTTAATTATGTGGGAAACGACCAAACCTGTGGAACCCCTCCATCATTATCTGCTTTTTGCAGGGTCTCCTACAGCGTCGTGTCCATGAGCTACTCTCTTTGGATCCTCAGGTCAATTTGCAAAAACTACGTCTGCGTTTGTATTATACCCTCAGGGAATGTGCATCTGTTTTTGTCCGTGCTCACATGCCCAACAGTTACCAACTGAAACACATAGCCCTACAGGACCCAAAACAAGGGAGGAAAAACTAACAAACAGAATTCGGTTTAAATTTTTTAATTGAATGTTTATACGTTATTATTTTATTTACTGTTTTTGCTAGGCAAGCATGTACTGTGAAGGTCTTTCCAGTTTTTAATGTGAAAATGAATTATTTGCTCCTGTTTTATTTATTAACGCTGAGGTGGAGAAACGACGTGTTGACTGAAATATCACCTATGGAACACAAGTGAATATGGATGTACCCGATGGAAAAGGAAGAATAACTAACCCTGTTGTCAATCAACATACATACGGTGGGACTGTTAGATGTCCTATAAGCTATGTAGGTTAAACAAACAAGGTTAATCTCTGTTTACCTTTTATGAAGTGTGGCAAAGAATTATGTCGCCCTTTCTTCACCCTCATAACTCTACTGGGTTTCTTATCTCTATAACTCTTTTTATTCTTTTTGAGTATAAGTTCAGGCTAACTGATATTTATTTTCAAGAAATATTGTTCAGGAATTACTTCTAATTTAATTAAATTATTTATAATAGACTTCTCTACAGAAACATTATAAACTCAAATCAATTTCCTCTATAAATGAAATACTAAGAGAACCAGCCCTTTGGAATATTACACAAATTATTTATAGCAACAGTTTTGGTCCATAGCTGCCCTGTCATACTCTACTAACTCCACGTTACCCTCAGGGTCCTAATTACTCTTCTGGCTTGCATTGAGAAATCAGTGTTTACACCAGTGTATATCAGTGATTTAATCGCACAATGAACAAACAAGCTTTCAGAAAACGAACCACACGAATTGAGCCGCTTGTAAATAACAGGCAGTTTTGTAGGGATTAGGGGTAATCTGTGTTGCGTCATAGGCACAATGGCTAAATTAATTAGAGGATGGGTTAGGTTTATCACTTGTTTGGGTTAAGTTACAGGTTGGTAGAAATTAACCTTGCCAGCATGTTAGGAGAACTGGGACGTTTATTGTGTTGTGGATCTTAATGCTATACCAGCACCTTTTGACGGCGTACGAAAACAATATTTTCATGGATCTCAAGATTTTTTTGTATACAAGTAACACCAGTTTAACTACTCTTAAAAGAAAGATGTCAATTACAAGCATACTTAAGATTTGAGAAACTGTATCTCGGATTGTCACTTATTTATACTACCGATGATTTTTGAGATGCTTGAATAACGATCAATCTAAAAAATAACCGTCGAGAGTCCACTGTGTCTTTCAAGTTTTAAATAATGCGTTCTCATACGTCATTGAAGGATTTCCTTAGGTCTCTGAAAAGGTAACCAAAGCTCAACCAAAGCGCAAGAACGCAACGAACTAATGTTACAAACAGGGTAATCACAAGAATTTCTTATTAATTAAATTTCAGCTTTGAATGAGATAACTAAACAGAAGAACTGGATTATTAAAGACCCTCTCTTGTTCCTGTGACATCTCTCCTCACCTATCGCCTGAATGTCAAAAATGTAACTTGCCATTTTATTCGAGTAGTCATAGTGATTTTTATTTATATAAGGACCTCTCGCCGAACATTATGTAGCAGCATTAAAAGTAGCACTTGTAGAGCCTCCCCCACAAGAACAGGTAAATTTACCTTTATCCATAGGGATTAAAACTGACGTGTTTGTTTAACTGCTGTCGTAGCAAATATTCCCATGCTTTCCAACTTCACACTACAATGAATTACGGAGGTTAAGCCTATTAATTAACTTTTGTACATTTGGTCAGAGACAATGTTTGCTGAATTAGTTTGTTTTGGACTGATTGTATTTTGAATGTAAATACATTTCCGACAATTGGGTAGTTGTCTTAGTGCACCAACGAAGAATAGATAAGCTGTTTTTTCTGTCTTTGCTGTTTCTTGTCTCTCCCTTTCACTCTTTTTACCTCTAATCTTGGTGTCAAAAGGTACGTAGCGGTAGGAAAGGGCCGGGAGGAAACGTGGAATAGAAAATAATTCACATGTAATGTATACGAAGTGTTTGATGCTTTGATTTCACTTTTTGGAGAACACAGTATTAAAAGATATTCAAGAAAATCAAAATGATGTTTTTCTTTACCCGTANTGGGGGAGCAAACGGGACAGAGTTCAGGCTTCAGCGCATCTCATTTAAAGGTCACCTACTATGCAAAATCCACTTTTCATGTCTCTTCTACATCAACATGTGTCCATGTTGATGTAGAAGAGACATGAAAAGTGGATTTTGCATAGTAGGTGACCTTTAAATGAGATGCGCTGAAGCCTGAACTCTGTCCCGTTTGCTCCCCCAGGTATTCCTCCAGCAGAGCCCCAGATAGCGAGACCCCAGGCTCCGCCCCCCATGCAGGCTCCCATGCAGGCCCCCATGCAGGCCCCCATGCAGGCCCCCATGCAGGCCCCCATGCAGCCCCACTCAGCGGCCCCTCCAGCTCAGCCCCACTCAGCGGCCCCTCCAGCTCAGCCCCAGTTCCAGGCCCCCATGCAGGCCCCCATGCAGCCCACCCTTCAAGCTCCACTCCAGCCACAGCAGGCTCCTAAAGTCGGGCCCCCTGCTTCCTCTGCTTCTGCTGCTGCTGCTGCCTCTGCAGGGTCTCCGCAGGGCCTCGCCTCTCCCAAACCCCCCCCACGCTCCCGATCCAATCAAGCTCTGCCACCTGAGGCTGCCAAGACTGAAACAGCCCCAGCTGCCCAGGTTGGTGCCAACTTCCTTTTCATTCAACTATTGGAATTTCAGCAACTGTACAGAGAACACTGAGTGTATTGTGTATTTAAAACACTAAGATCATCCTGACCTTTTTCGTTGTTAAATAATGTATTACAGATGCTTGCTCAAATTCTGCTGATTAGACAAGATATTTGATGATAAATGATGTAAGTGTCGGTGATGGAGAATTAGCCTCTTTCTGCTGCTTTGTCTCACATCCAATGAGCTTAGTGTTTGTGTCATTCTTCCTGCTTTTGTCTCTCTGATACATTTGCCTCTCTCTCACAAGCTGGAGAAGCCCTCAGGGTAACAGGTACTTTAAATTACACCACCTCTTTGTCTCATCCTCCATAGCACAACAGTCCTCTGCTCTGATGTTATTACCCCCCCCCCATACATTGCACCTAATAACCTCGTCCTTTCCTCATTTCATAAAAAACAGTCCTACGTCCCCTCCTATTTATATTATTGTTGTTTTAACCTGGATGTTATTAGACCACTGCAAGTCCATGCATTGTTTTGTGTTAGGCTCACAAAAGGGAGCATCCTTTGTCTTCTTTTTGTCATAACAAACCATACATGACATGAAAAAAGATGTTTGTTGTTCCCCTTGACTGATCCTTTCCTATCTGCTCACTGTGTCCAAGGTGTGCAGAGTGAGCACATACGCAAAGACTTCATAATATGATTTGACTTGACATCCATTTGTTTTAGAGTTGGTGATTGTATGCGGACTGTGATACTTTCATCAATGCTAGCTGTAGTGTATTCAAGTTGGACAGGTTAAAGGTACCCTATGGAGAAGTGGCATTATTGATCAAGTCACACACAGATGCACATCATAACTGTTTGTTCCAGGGGGTATCTTTAACCGTTGTTCTTATCTAAAGAAATAATACAATCCATTCAGTTCCATGAGTTCCTACACTGAATGTCTTTTTCTTGTTTTGTTCCTCCCTAGACGAATGGACTGAATGGAATCCAAAGAGAAGCACAATGGAAGCCGGACCCCTTCGACCCACTCACCTCTGATTTACTCCCCTCCCCCTCCCCCTGGCACACCACCCAGTCCCTGAACAGAGGCGCCTCTCTGCGTGCCCCCCCCTCTGTTCCTGTATCCTCCAACACTCTCCCTTTATCCTTCTCCCTCCAGTCCTCCGCCCTCTCAGACCTGCAGCCGCTCGACTCTTCCTCCTCCTCCTCCTCTTCTTCCGCCGCGTCCCCTTTCTCCTCCTCCCTGCTCCCGCCTCCTCCGGTCCCATCTCGTTGCCGCTCTCAGGAGACGCTGTGGGCCCCCCCCGGCCCCCTCCTTCCCGACCCGCTCCCCGCCCGTCCCAACAGCACCAACCCCTTCACGGGCCCTCTGGCGCAGCGGTATCAGCCCAGCCGCCCGCTCACCCCGGACTTCAGCTCCGTCCCGACGCCAAACATTCAGAGGACCATGTCTGCGTTCACTCAGCCCCTCGTCCCCATGTCTGCGGCCCCCACCTCCCAGCTCCAGAGGACCGCCTCCCTGTTTGGACCGTCGCCCGCTTTCAACCCCACAGCTGACCCTCTTCTCCCCCCCGCCCCGTCTCCTGTCCCCTCCTTGCCTCTGGCTCCTCCCTCCTCCGTTCCCCCTGTCCTCGCACCTCGTCGCCTGCCACCCCCCTCAGTCGGTAAACCCACAAAGAGTTGGGTCACTTTTGATGATGATTTGGATTTTCAACATCCAACCAAAACGCCACAGGCCCCCGTCTTCCCTTCAAGTTCCCTCGTGGGACAAACACAGACTCTCCCCTCCCGCTCTGTGTTTGACTCGGAGCCCGACTGGTTATCCTCGGTCCCTTCAGTATTCCCAACGCTCCCTCCTCCCATCCCGACCAGAACTGTACCCAGCAACCCAAGCCTCCCAGAGGGTCTGAGCGACGACTGCTTGTTCCCAACAGAAAGCTGGGACCACTCTTAATACGTAAAGGGCATATCCAGATATGTATAGATCTATGATAAATGTGTATATGTGTGTGTATGTACAAAAGAGAGTATTTAAAAGGTATAGACCAATCCCCTTCTGAGTCACAGGAACGTAATATTTATCTTCAGCAGTAACATGTGTGAGCCTGTGTGCTAAGTTTCCCACAGAGATGTTTGCTTATCCCTTTACATTTATTTGAATATGAATTGTTCTGATGTTCATTTTTTCTTCAGGGCAGCAAACTCGTGCCTGTGTCTACATTATAGAACTATATAAAGTACATCTATACGCACAAATCATATGTTTAGCCAGCTGTGCAATATATAGACATGTATGTGTGGCCGTGCAGCAAACTGCATTCGCCTGCGAGGCTCAGTGTTAGCTTGCCATTCACTGGCAAAATGCATCATTTGGACTGACATCAGAGCACGCTTCTTAAAGTAGAGAGGAATCCTCTACCTTCTCAGTTTACAGGAAGTAGAAGGCTATGCACTGAAGGTTTTTACATAGTCCTAAATAGTCTGTATGTTCTGGTATTTTGTGTCTAATGAGTGCACGTTTAAAATGCATATTGTGCGCTCGCTTTGAACTTGAATGTACTTTTTGTTGCACTGGGTTGTCATTGCCTCCTCGCTGAAACCACGGCGTGAACAACCGCAAGAAAGTGTTCATAGCCAGTCAAACTGTTCACTGCCGCTGGACTGACTATCATCCAGTTGATCGTAAGACGTTATGTTCTTCCTCTCTCTATTCCGTCATCATTCCTTGTACGTGGGCTGTTACGCTTAGCTGAGTATATTTTGGAGCTCTATATCAAAACCTATACATAGTGATTTATGTATAAATGTAGGTTTTCAACATGGAACCGATTCGCTATATGTGTATATTGTGTTTGTGATGGCTGTATCAGTGGTTTGCACAATGTTACTGATATGCACTGACAGGCTGTATGAGCTCTCTTGGTTGTATTCTTGCTGATGGCAGAATGACAACAAATGAGAGCCAGCGGGTTGAGCAGATGACCTTTCCACCTCTGCAGTGTTTTTATTCTTCCTGATTTATCCAAAGCATTTAAACACACTGTTGTAAATTCAGAGAATGTGGCCGGTGCGTTTGTATACTTCTGTTACTCAAAGTACTATGATTCGGGTCAGTAAACGTGGCGGCCAGGCCAAGCCATGCCTAATAAGAAGAGGGCACATTTTTTTACTTCAGCTTTTGTTCATTGCACAAGACATGCTTTTAATTTCTCAGAACATTTACTCTAAATATATATTGTTAATATCTGTGGTGAGAAGTAATGTGTCGTGTTTGAGGTGCATATCGCCTGTTGCCGTGCTTGTGTTTGGATGTGAGTGTGTGTGTGTGTGTACGGAGTTAGGAAATGATCAAAGCTTTTCCCCTTGGAAATCTTCTCATTTAAGACGCAGTGTATTTGCTGAACTAACAGCCACTGTATTCACTAGCGCATGGCTGTCACTGTATTTCCGCTCTATAGCCTCCAAGGGCTGTGGAGGGGCCTCACTGTATGCAACAATGTTAACAAAGACAAAGGACTCTTATTCCTCAAAGCACCAACCACCTTGACTGAATATACAAACTCAACTACACTGTATGCTGAAAAGCATCGCCCGATTATCATTTCCAGTTGACTGTTTGTTGTGTCCTTCCCAGGCGCAGTGGCCCACATTCCAGACAGTAGTGTGATTTGACGTTTGACGGTCCGCCTGTAATATCTAACCCATAGCTGTTTCCTCCGGTTGAGAGTAATTGTTACTGAGCCTCGCTGATTTCGTAACCATCCATGGGGGTGCGTGTGGTGTTGTCAGAGGTGATGTGTCAGTATTTTCCCCTGTACTACCTGCTGTTGAGTTGTAAAGGTCAGCATCAATGATGATAAGTATTTTTGCAAAAGTATCAGTAAAAGTGTGGTCCTATAATCATTTTTGATGGCTCCTTGAGGATGACACAAGAAAGTACCAGCTAACTAACGCTTCTGCAAATGTCAAACAAATATAAATAATCTTCATTCTCTGCACTGAATGCAGTAGCTATCTATGTAAGCAAGTGTATCAGGTCGCCTTTGCTTACATGTCGGTGTCATCACTAAAATGCATTTATTGTGTTATCCAAATGTGTGCAGTAGATTCAGTAGGTGACTAGCCAGCGCTTTGTGTCATGTCATGTACAAGATGAGATTTTATAGGAAACAAATTGCTCTTTTTGTGAGGTTGGTGTCCCTTTTTATGGCTATAATCCATAGTAAATGAAGAGTCTGTGTTGTTGAACATATTCTGTATGTATTCAAGAGAAAACATGAAGCTGCGATTTGTGTTAATATCCAACGTTCCATATTTTAAGTGCACAGCAGATTGCACATTTATGTATGAAGCCGTTTATGTATGTATGCAAAAATAAATGTAAGTCGACCCTATATGTTCATGTGTGTCGCCTCTGACTGCAGAATGTAACTGTGTGAACATCATAGATAATTAAACATCATACACCTATTATACTTAATATCAAAGTTGTACAGGCATTACATGTTTGTGTGAAGTGTTTTTTATTTTTTATAGCCCAATATTACAAATTTGCTTCAGATGGCTTCACAATCTGTACAGCATACGCCACCCTCTGTCATTGGACCCATGCAGCATTTAAGGAGAAAACACCCAACAAAAAACCCTTTATCATATCATCTTTGTGTCATTTTAGTTGTTGAATTTGTTAAATTACTTTAGAGTAGTCTCTTATCCAGTTATAGTCAGTCACTGTGATATAATGTCAATGAAAGTAAACATATAGCCAAGGTAAATGGGTTAATTATCCTTTTCTTCTGGTATAGTAGGACAAACCAGGGATTAAAGATTGTTCAAAAACATACCTTATTGGCCACAGTGTTACCATGTGTTACCGCTAGAGGACAGTAATACTGATTGGATTGTTTATAACCTGCCCTTGGTTTTTCACACGAAGAAGAATTCAATCCATGTTGGATTCACGTTTAGCTAATACTTTCACCGGTTGTGTGTTGTAAACAAACTCTAAGCTCAGTCGGAACATTGAACGTACTGTCTTGTGCTTGTCGTTTCACTACACAGGTAACACCATTTTCAGTTTATATAATGACATGACCCTTAAACAGTTGAGCGTTTAAAATGTAAATAGCTTTACTCGCTTGCTAGTTGAAAGCTAACTTGTGGACTCAACTGTTGCTATGGTTACACTGTTTCCCCCTGACCCCGGCTACTGTGTTTCCACACTCAAACTATTCGTGTTGTTCCGGCTATATTCAACAACAAAAGTCGCATTTATTTATATCCTGAAACGTCTCTTTTAGGTGGTAAAACAGACGGTAAGCTACTTCTCGAGATGGTGCAGCTGCATGTGAAGCGTGGAGATGAAAGCCAGTTTCTTTTCGACACCACTGTGCTCGCGCCTGTGGAGTCGGTGATTCAGCAAATTACAGCCATTTACAACGGGAGGCTCAAAGTGGAACGGATATGTTCAGGTAAAGTAGGAATATTTACTTTTAACACTTTATATGGATGATAAGCTTCAGTAGGCTGAATTCACACGTTACTACTGTTTAAACTGGTGTAACGTCCGAGGTGTTAGGGCTTCAAAGATACTTCTGTGTAACAAAAACTCAGGAACTTTAGTATTTTTTGAGCATCACAGACAGCGCCTCAGTTTATTACTGTCGTCGAGTCCTTAATATAACCGCAGAACACACACTGCGCGTGCTCATACACATCTCTCAAACCAATGCTTACACTCGGTTGGAGGATAAATACTCTTAAATTGCTTAAAAACTATGTTTTTATTAATTATCAGTAACTGAATGTCTGAATAAGTAATCTGTTCAAGGTCTCAACAACATTTCCGCACAAATGGCTCTTGTAAATAAGATCTTTCAGTCTTGTTGGATACATTTACATGAATTTGTTCATTATTTTATGCACCCTCAGAGATCCCAGAGCTGGCTGACCATGGCACCCCACTGCCCCCCAACATGCAGGGGCTGACAGAGGAGCAGATCGTGGACCTGAACCTGATTGATGAATGGGAAGAAAAGTGTGTTCCCAGTGGAGGGCCCGTGTTGAGGAGGGATGAGATTGGGAGAAGGAACGGACAGGGTAAGACACTGGGCTTCGCAATTTAAAAAGTAAACGCATGCTTGTAAACTGTCTTGTGAAGAAGTTAAGTTGCCTATCAGTTTTCTTTAAATGCTTAAATGTGTTGTGATACCAATTCAAGCAGGAAAAAGGCTGAAACTCCCCCTCTTTTCCCTCTACCAGCTCCAAATGATAAGATGAAAGAGGTGTTGATGAGAACTGTGGAAGAGGCGAAGGCACTGATCTCCAAAGTGAGTATTATTTTTAAAAAACACAATATTTCACATCGTGTTGTTTAGCAAGGGTCAAAACTTTGAATTAAATACATCTTTCTCCTCATTCTTCAGAAACAAGTCCAAGCTAATGTTTGTGTCACCATGGAGATGATAAAGGACGCCCTAGACCCACTAAGGGGTGCGGTCATGATTGTTTACCCAATGGGGCTGCCTCCTCATGACCCTATCAGGATGGAGTTTGAAGACAGGGAAGACCTTTCAGGAACACAGGTAAACAGCTGCACCTTTGTCAATATTCAGTTATCTTGCAGCAATTGGCTGGAGTCAACATACAAAATAGTAAACAACGCCATAAGTTTCTAATGTCACTATTGTTTGGTACATCTGGAGGTGAATCCATTTGAACTTCTCCCTAATCATTCCTTTTACATCTACCCTCTCCATCTGTCTGTACCTCAGGCCTCTCTGCAGGTGGTCACAGAGGAGGAGTGCCAGCTATGGTGGGCTGGCAAAGAGATGCAGAGGGGGAAAAAACTGCAGGACTACATTGGTAAAAATGAAAAAACGAAGCTTGTGGTCAAAATCCAAAGGGTGAGAGCCATTTCATCTTAAAGGGAGAATTTTTACGGTATATTACAGGCTGCATTATACATAATCCATTTTGATTTCCCCTTCAGAAAGGGCAGGGGGCCCCAGGGAGAGAGCCTGTGATCACTGAGGAGCAGCAGAAACAGATGATGATGCGTCAATACAGGAGGCAGGAGGAGCTCAAGGTGAGGAAAGGCCAAAGACACAAAACACTCCTGGACTTCTAAATAGGCACGCATGCAAAACCGAGTTCCTGTTTGTACATAATGTGCCTTTCTAACCTTCCTCTTGTAATATTCTCAGAAACTAGATGAGGGAGACGATGATAGCCACATGGACTCGGAGTGGACAGACAGACAAGCTCTCAGAAAACAGTTTCAGGGCCTCTCTAACATCAAATGGGGGCCCAGGTGAAAAACGCTAACACCCAGATTCCCACCGTGGAGCTGCTGCCCTGATCCCATACAGCTCCACATGCAACCGACTATGATGCCTTATTCTCATTATCCTTAAATCAGTTCAATACATGTTAGTATTTATTTGTATCTGAATTCAAATCTGGAGACATTGTCTGACAGGACGGGTAAATATGTAATTAAAAACCTGATTTATTTGAAGGTCAATCTGATCCTTGTATTCCCTTACTGATTGTTTTTAACCTCAATTTTACATTTGTATTGAAGCTGTGCAGATGAAATACATTTAAGATATTCTCTTTATATTATTGTTGTTGTGGAAAAAGTCTAATAAATTGTTTTTCAAATTTGCCCGTGTAAAAAAAAAAACTTGTTTGTCCATTTTGGTATTAACGTCATGTTGACATTTCACACATGCTCAGTAGATAGTGATTTAATTAGAACACAGTGTTACATCCCAGGGACAAGGATGCTACACCTTTCCTCTCTTTGTCTCACACACACCTTTTAATGAACGTCGGTGTTGAGGCAGGAAGTTGCCACACAGCGGTTTGTCGTTCCAGCTCTTGTCCCTGCAGTGATGAGGAAATTGAAGAGTTCAAAATGAGAGTTTAATTCCACTGCGTTGAGTTGTTGACGGAGTGGATGCAGTGATTCAGAGAGGTGTGGTGGGTTTCAAGGAAAACGGGATTTAAAAAAAACAAACACTTTGTACACTGAATGCAGATGGCTCCTTAAATAAACTGTTTTTCTGGAAAATGAAATTGAAATCCTGGGTTTATGGTATGAACAGCTGCCACATTTACCAATCGCTATTGTAGTTATTCTGTAGGGAAAACACTATTATGTGCCTTTTTTGATTTGTCTGATGGAAAGGCTTCATTCAAAAACTAAGAAAGTTATGAGATGAGAACAACTGAGGTTTTATGAACAATCCCACTCCCTGACACATTATTTCATTGTTTCAGTGGTGATTTTGAATTGATAAAACTTTTTTAAACAACTAAATAATATTATGTGACCACCCATTTTACAGCATCAAATCCTGTTCGTCTTTTTAAAAATGGCTCGTATCGCATTTTACCCAACATTACATTCTTTACTGAATAAGTGCTCCTGCTAAAATGTCCGAACACAAAACAAACTGCTGTACAATGAATAAAGAAAATATGTCGGCTGGGAGCTGCTGCAGAGAATCCTGAACATATCTTGAAGGTGCTGAACAGCATCCATTGGTTTCCCTGTTAAGTTAACATGAGCTGCCATTGAGATAGGCGTTCATCCGTATCTCCTGGATGACCATCTCCCTGCGCTCGATCCTCTCCGCCCGCTCGGCCTCCTCGCTCACATAAGTCACTCCCTCCCAGTCGCATATCGCCTTCCTGTCTGCAGCTGAGATTAAAGAGCTTTCTGTTCCCTCTTCGTCATCATCTTCATCATCATCATCGTCCTGCTCCTGGCTTTTGACCACCTGGCTAGCAGACTTTGGTTTGATTCTGTGATCTCTGGAGCGCTGAACTCCGCAGGTCACCCGCACTGATACAGCAAGCAGAGTGAGAATAAGACCCACACACACGCTGGAGGTGAAGAGCAGCGCTGCCATTTCTGGATGCTCTGTGGCGGGAATAAAGGAAGGAGATGTATAAAACATGGTAACGGGAATTTAGTAGTAGTAGTACTTTAGAATTAAAGGTCACCTATTATGCAAAACCCACTTTTTCATGTATTTTCTACATCAACATGTGTCCCCTCTGTGTAAAGAGATTCTGAAAGTTTCAGGAAAAAAGATTCTCTCTCTTTTTGTCCTGATCCATTTCTATAAAAACCTGTC